GCCGTGAATATTTAAGAATGCATTCCTCATGTAGTAACTTCAAGAAGTGAATGTTAGCATGGCAGACTCATTGCTTTGCCTGTGCTCGATCCCAGCTCCAAAACACAGAAAATCACGGCGTGAATTTTTTCGATTCCATTAAAGAAGGTGAAAGTCCCAACCAGCAACTGTCAGAGACAAGGACTGGCTTCTTGGAGGGGGAGGTTATGATGTCAGCTCCGAGTAGCAGTTATCACAGACACGGACTGGCTTCTTGGAAGACGCGATAGTGGCAGATTTGGCTGAGCACTCGTTGCAGAAGATGTTGCCGCACTGACGGCAGTGATGCTGTGGAAGAAGGGAAGGAAACACCAAACAAACCTTCAGTCTTAAAGCCTTTCATTTATAAACCACTCGTCTAGTATACACGTCATAGGGCACCGCAAACGTGGTGTTTTAAAAACACTCCCGACACTGGCAGGAAAAAGTGTTGCGAGATTTTACATATCCTCCAGTGTGAACTCGTCAATGAATCTGGAAGATAATTGCGCCCACCCTTCTGACAGTGACAGAGAACGCTTTGTCGCACGCCATGCAGGACTTGACTTCGGTGTCATCTGCCCACTTGCGAGCCATCTGCTTGGACTGGACGATCTGCAAGTTCTGGTTCTCCCGACCCAGCTCGTGCATGGCCGCTTGGGCGTCATCCAGCTTCCGACGGAGCTCCACCACCTTGGTCTGCAGCTTCTCTACATCGCCCTCGCTGGCCAAACACCTGCAAGAAGACAACCAGTGACATCGTTGATTCACCGTGTCCCTTCCTGAGAGGACGCTAAAAACCAAATCCCTGAACTTACAATGAATGGATCCCTACACAGTCAAAAAATAGTTGGGCAGGAGAGATCAAGCATTCGCTAGGGTGTAACTTGATCCTGGCGACCTGGCAATGCAACTTTAAGAGCTAAATCAGCCTGACGGACCAAAAAGGCTGGAGACACATTCGGTGACAAGTCAGCGCATTGAACAAACAATAATCAATTTGAAGACGTGAAAACTTTAATGAGGCCAACATTTGAAGAACACAATGTAGTTTCATTCAGTCTTCTACTCTGAGGTTTTTTAGATTTATCAAAGTAAAAATATCAGTTTGGGCACAAATAAAGACCCAAATCAGAGGAAGATTGCCCACCTTTCCAAGAGGGTTCGTCGTTCATCTTGATTATTCTGAATGGTTGCTTCCAGCACTAGAAACAAGATCAGTGACAAAAGACAACTTAGCTAATGCATGCAATGTGCTATTTTTCCTGTTTATCTGCCAGTATTTGTCCACATCTCTCCGCCCCTGTAATTGTCCTCTTCCTCTCTCTTTATGCGCCTGCTACTTCCCCCTGATCATCCACTACTTTCTCTAGTTCCATGTATCAGCCTATATTTGTCCAGGTCCGTTCACCTTTTATTTCTGTCTGTCCATCTACCCACTTGCTACTTTTCCCTTCAATTCCTGCTTACTATCTCTAGTTTCTCGTACCGGTCTATATTTGTCCTTGTCTGTCCACCCTTTTATCACCCTACGTCTCTCCCCAACCCCACCTGCTGCTTCTCCCCTGAGTTCATCCACAACTTTCTCCAGCTCTTGTTTCCTGGTATCGGCTTGTGAGAGATCGCTCCGTAGCGTAGCCAGGTTTTCATTCAGAGCACTGAGCTGCATGTTGGAACGTTGCTCCAATTCCTCCATCTGATGCTGTAGATCTGCCTTGGCTTGTTCTTCACTGGCCTGTTTGTATCCACATCAAGCAATCATTGAAACAAACCTCCTGAGCACTAAGACGAAGGGAATTCAATTTTTTTTTCGCCAACCAATTTGTTATTCCTGCATCTTCAACTAAGGCTGAGTCAAGTTGAATTAACCAAATATTTGATTACTTGGCATTCCATTCAATTAAATATTTGGCATATTCCAAAGAAATCTGAAGAAAAAAATTGTTAAACAAAAAATTAATGGAAAATACTTAGCGGTCTTACTGGTAGCCATAGATATTCAACCACAATCAAGTTTACTTATAATGCCTTCATGTTTCAGTAGTTTTTCACCTCTAAATATTCAATTTCAATGATACTTGAATATTTGATTATCAACCAGCCAAATATTTGAATAATAAGTGGATAACTCACTAGTTTGTTTTGCAAAGCGGCCGATTCATCCCTCAGCATTGTCTGCACCTTGTGCGCCACCTCTTTGCTCTCGCCAAACTCCGCCTCCAACTTGGCCAGCTGGGTCTCCTTGTCCATCAGCTGAGACTGTAGGTCCAGCTTGTGCTTGATCAGGAGCTGTTTGGCCTCCTGCATGGCTGCCGCCTCCTGCCGATTTCAAACAGTCAAAGCCGATTGGTGGAAATCCACACAGCCCTATCAAATGATGAGCATACTAGCTCGCTATTCCCTGCCTGGAGGAGTTTTAATGCCTCCTGAGCGCAGTCATTTTCGAGTTCATGTGTGGATTTGTGGAAGATAATGAAATATGAGGGAACAAACTCTGAATTGTACAACATGCGAAAATTACATACAGCACACTTTCATCATAAGTATAAAACTTTTAAAAATGCAAACTTCATCTTCAACCCAATCAACAGCCATCTGCATTGCTTACTCAGGGCAAAACGATACACTCATAAATTAAGATTGTTAGCTCTTTGGGGTATTGGCACTGCTGACACATCACTTCCAAATACCTACGCAGACATGCAAACAGTTGCAAAAAAGCTTTACATAATTTCAAACATTCCCTAGGTTACTACCTAAATATGTCCAATTCTGCATGCTTTGCAGGCTATAAATGTCAATGTACAAAACCTGCAACACTTGATACTTTCAACACTGTTCCTTTCACGCTCAACAGGTATGACGATATCAAGAGGATTACCAAAATGGCAGGTGGTGGTTGTTGCTAAGCCCACCCAGATCTACACTAGTGATTCACAATGTTGCTTTGAAATACCAAAATGCCCAACTCGGGAAACAACAGAGGGCTGCGTTATTCAAAATCATGTACAAATACTTGTTCACCTTTTCAGCACGCTTAAAAATGAAACCGTACGCTACGTGAGATGCTTCGGGCGACTTCCTACCTTGGCTCTGTCCTCTTTCTCTTGCTGTGACGCTGTGTGAAGCTCCGTCAGCTGATTACCCAGCGACATCTTGGCCTCCTCCAACTCCCGCACCTTGCCGGTCAACTTCCCGATTTCCACCTGCTTGGCAGCCTGCGGATAGAGAGAGTTTGTCCACTGTAAAGAGACCGAAGTCGGAGACTCCTTGCACGGCGGTTGAGGGCGCTATTCACTGGAACTGTGATTGCAAAGGGTTTCATTTTCCCCTGATCTAGGCTCCAGCACCGGCTGTGGGTTGAAGCTCCAGTCTCATGAATTTCTATGATGTAGACCAGGAGCTGGGGGTATTTCTATTTTCTTCCCACTGCACAACGTTCCAAAATGACTGTGAAACACGGGACAATGCAAAAGACAATGGCAAGACAGACAAAGGCAGTAGCGTGACAAACAAACATCCAATACCAGGAGCATGTTTTCGCAATCCCGACTGCAAACATGTTTCAGCTTCGGTCAGTGCTTGGGTTGTTTTAGCCTTCGTGACATCACTGTTCTAGCCAAACGAGAACTGAAGGTTGGAGTTGGTTCCGCAATGGATTTAAAATAGCAGACAACTTTTTAAAAGTCATCAAAGAAGAGGCACAGGTTTTCAGGTGGATTGCCTGTTGAATAAGTCTTTGACCAATAGGGTGACAAAACAAAGGTCCAAGTCACACTTACATCTTCCTGTTTCAGAGACTGGTATCTCCCAATCTCAGCCTTCAACTCTTCGTCTAGTTCAGTCACCCTGGCATCCAACACCATTTTTACCTGCAAATACACAACCAAAGGGAATATTGTGGTAATTCTATCATTCACTCCAGGGCAGACTGTTGTGTTTTATTCCAACAAAACCCTTTGTTGACAGAGACTTCTGCAAAGGACCAGCAACTCTGATTCTTTACGCTTGCAAACTCCAGACATGTCAGTACCATGGGCATTGGGGTAGGGGAGTGGGGTGTGTGCGCCACTGTCTTCCCTTGGGAAAAACTTGTCTTGTGAATAGTCTGGAGACTGATCTTGAGATTGGTCTTGCGTCTGGCCTGGTGTCTGGTCTTGTGTCTGGTCTGGTGTCTGGTCTTGTGTCTGGTCTGGTGTCTGGTCTTGCGTCTGGTCTGGTGTCTGGTCTTGCGTCTGGTCTGGTGTCTGGTCTTGTGTCTGGTCTTGTGATGGTCTCAACTCCACCACTAGCATCCAGGTGAGTCTGTGACCATACCTCCTGTAGTCCTTCCACACTGCTCATGAGCGATGCTTCACTCCCTCGTACTCTCTCCAAGGATTCCTCCGTCTTTGTCAGCGTCTCATGGAGATTCTCCAACTCTTTCTGAAGGGCCTTACACTTCTCTTGTCCATCCTACACAATGTAACCAGATAATTGAAACTAGTTTTATGCCATGAACCACTAATGAAACCATTCAGACCAGCTAAATGAAGCACCTTGCAACAGTGTAAATTTCAGGCCAGGTGAATATCCTGTCTGACCAGAGTGGTAGTCAAGACCACTTCTACGACCTTCTCAAGACCACACAAGACCAACACAAGATCTCAAGTCTGAATTCAAGTCACAAGTTCCCGAAATGTGCTGCAACAAAATGCATGGTCTTGTATCTGGTCTTGTGTCTGGTCTTGTGCATGGTCTTGTCTCTGGTCTCGTATCTGGTCTTGTGCATGGTCTTGTCTCTGGTCTTGTGCATGGTCTTGTGCATGGTCTTGTGTCTGGTCTTGTGCATGGTCTTGTGCATGGTCTTGTGTCTGGCCTTGTGCATGGTCTTGTGCATGGTCTTGTGCATGGTGCCTTTTGAAAACACTTGCATTGAACTCTGCAATCTGACAGGGATTTCTTTCACCATTGCCAAGGCTGCATGCAGAAGTTGCCGGTTTGGTCTGCTAAAAATGTGCCTGCATGTAAAGCAGATTTTTTTAACCACCACCAGCCTGGAACCTTAAAAAGTGTTATTCTGTGGAAGAAACCACCAGTCAAAAACTTGAGGGTTTTGATACTTGATGGCCATTTTTGACTGTTGCTTGAATGTGTTGTTGAAATGATGGTGCATTTTTTATACCTATACTTTGCTTACTGCTGTAAAAATAAATTCTTTGTTATCCAAGAGATGGAAATTTTCATGCTGGCATTTTCTCTTCACCAGTAAAGTGTCATTAGCAATATTTACACAGTGCTGCCCAAAAAAGCTTGCAAAAAAAAGAGGCTGTCCCAAGTGGGACTTGAACCATGCACGGCCTTAGCATATGACCAAGGTACCTGTAGTCTTGATGGTCAAATAGTAAAGCAAGTGATTCAGAAAGGGGAATGTTTGGATCCAAGCCTTTTGGGAAACACTAGCTACATGTACGCATATAGTTTTGGTAGTTACATGTACGTAAGGTCAGTTCATACTTGGTGCCATAGTGAGTACAAATGCGAATTTGTGACATCAGATCAAATCTTTGTGTGGCAAATTTGCCAAACTTGAACATACTTCAGCTCAAACAAAAGTTGCTGCAATGGTTTCATGACTTCAAATTGGCTTCACTTTCACATTTGTCCGTAGTAGGAGCCTGCCTTTACACGAAGAGTTAACAGCTGTGCATTGATGTATATAAGATACAGGAAGGCAATTGTACATGTAGCTGCCTACAGTATCTCTTGTCCTCTCTTAAACCAGGGCCAGCCACGAGTTGTTGACCAGACTACTCTCGATAGCAAGGTCAATCAAAACCTAATACTAGCTTCTAGCAGATATGGTCATCAAAAGAAGGCAAATGGCAGAGACATTAGCACCACAAAGGACATGGGAATGGTAAAGTAGCCATTGTATGACCACTTCATGCAAGATTACATGTAAACATATAGGGATTGCCTGTGTTGTAACATGGAGGATGTTTAAATATGTTTCGGCAAATTCTGTTTGCATTTCTGGGTGACATCTACAGTGTATATACTTGTCTCCATGCTTGAGTGATTCCTAGAGACTTTGTACGCACACCGAGGCTCAAACAAGTCTGTGGAGGTTGATGAGTGTGAGTGTGTCGCCCTGGCCAGGTGTTGCAGCGAATGTTGCCCCTGGACATACATGTACATGTAGTCTCACAATTTTTCAAACAGGAACATGTCCAATGGAGTGAGAAAGGTCATACAAATCTTGAAGTGGTGGCCTCCTAACTATGAGACAAAAGCAACATGTCTTCTGAGGCTGTTCGCAATAGAACATGAAAAACAGCTGCAAGCAATAACTTTTTGATCATTTGCTGGCAAATCGAGAGAATTGTAACTTTGATAATGACTGTGGCCTTATCGAGCTGTTGGTTTAGGAGCTGAAGCTTTCTGGCCATTTACAACCTCTCCATTAAAAAAACAAAACTTGTCACAGGTGAAGAGTTTGTTTGACATTTTTATTTGAGCATACCTCCAGAGCATGCCCTGCATCATGATGGGAGACATATGCACCTGTGCTGATACCAGTTAAAAGGTTAACAGGACATTTTGAGTAATTTTTTTACTCAACCTGCAGGAGCTGAGCAGTGATGAGAATGCAGTAAAGTTGGCTGCCAAGTACCAGGCAAACATTGTCATAGCAACTGCAGCCCTGGCAACCCTCGCTGACAACCATGCCCCTGAGTATGAAAAAAACTGGCGTATTCCAGTGCAGATCAAGTTGGCTAAAACGGCAGGTAAGGCTTTAAACAGAACCGCTATTATATTCAGTGGGTAGAAAATAATGTTGCAACTAAAATTAGAAGCCGTTACTTTTGTATATCATACTTGCAAGACGTTGTTTGTGCAAGTTGAATGCCACCTTGACCTATGGTATCTTGTTACCTGTAAGAATGCTTGCACATGAAGTTTAACCACTTCATGCCTGATAACATGGTAATATACAGGGATCTTGAATGAAAGGCCCCAAGGTTCAGTTTTAAAGAGTTTTAAAGAGTAATAACCAGCATTTCAACTTGACTTTGCAGTTCTGGATTTTAGGGGAAGAATTGTAAAATGCGCTGCCATGGACACCTGTTAATAGTAGAGGTTGAATCTATTTAGAAACAAGACCATACACTGCTCACAGTCATGCAGTTGAAATCATGTGTCCATGACTATTGGCTTTTTGATTTGTATTGCAGACACTGATTCAACGCTGAAGACCGTTTATATCAGTGATCCTCTGACAAATTCAAGCTTCCCACATGAGGTCAGCCAAGCATTTCATCGAGTGGCACTACTTGACCTGATGGAAGGCCTGGAGGGTCTGTCTTCACCTGGTGGCCCTGACAGTGCCTCTGTGGAGGTAGATAAGCAATATGATGACTACCTGGAGTTTGACCTGACAAGTCTGGAGACGTTTGGGTCCCTGCCTTCAAAGTCACGTCTCAGGAATGCAAAGGACTCTCAAATCCAGCACAAAGCCAAAGCTGAGAGAAAGTTGTCAGAAAGTGAAACGAAAGACAGAGCTTGTCTTCCAGCTGATGCCCAAACGATTGCTACTAGGGGTGCAAATGTAGAAGAGAGCAAGTTTACGGGGGGAACCAGTTTAAATGGAAACCAACATGGTTCACCCAAAGGTTCCTTAGAGTCTACTACTAATCGGGCATTAGAAGCTAAGTCTTCTGCTGCCCTGGAGGTTTTGCCAGACAGTTTTGAGATGCTGCAGGCAGTAAGAATTCAGAAGGCCAAACAATCACAAATGCAGCCGTCAGGAACTTTGCCCAAATTGGCCAGCTTTGGGTCAGAAGAACCTGTCGCCAAACCTGGCATTGACCCCCAAATCAAAAGGGAATTTTTGGACGAAAGTGAGGAGCTCCTCTTTCTCAGTGATGGCACTGAAGGTGAGTTAATGATTGAACTGTCCTCAGGCCCAGATTCTCCCGTGAAACCATCAAACAGCCAACTGACTCGTAAGACAGAAACAACTGGAGTGCGCGACATCAGCAAAGAGGAAAAAGAGACTTGCGGGGAAAATTTGAAAGGTGCGGGTACAGAAGACGCACAGCAAAGTTGTTCTGTCAGATCGACACTAAGTGCAAGAAAACGAGAGGTGTGTTTGGGTGTGGCATCGGAGGAAGCCCCAACCCCAAGGAGAAGTCTGAGACTTCAGAAGAACCCCCCTGCCGATGTAAAGTGCCAAGCCCCCCTGCTTTATCAACCACTGTCAAAGACACCCAAAGAAGTTTTACCTGAAATTCAAATCCCTGCACCGACTTCTGAAGACCCAGTTTGTGGGGAAAATAGCTACCCAGCAATCCCTTCCCGAGAGGCCGCGAGAGGGGTTATACCTGATTCTCCCCTTTCCCCACCCCCTCACGAGAAGGGGCTTGCCACTGGGGTGTCCTTTCCCCCAGCATCTACATCTACCCCCATCAAGGGGTCACTTTTAGTGGGGAAGAGACTTGCTAGTGACTCTTTCACTAAGAATACTTGCCAAGCACTGACCCCTGCACCAGAGTCTCTGCAAATGAAGAAAAGGAGAACGGCAGGCCGGTGTGCTGCAGACCATTCAGTCGCTGAGGACAAGCCTTGCATGAGATATAATCTCAGATCAAAGTCTAGTGGGTCGGGAAATCAAGATCAACAAGTGGTTCCTGGACCAGAAATACCAAGAAGAGAGCTGAGAGCCGGTGGGAATGATAGTGTAGATAAATCCCTGACCTCAACGGAAATACCTACAAGTGAACTAGATGACATTCAGGATGAGGTTGTCACAAAAGAACAGCAAGAAGCTTTCAATGCAGTTGTCCCAGAGGAAAACCAAACTATGCCGTGGAAGTCTCACAAAGACTCTGCAAAATTCAATGAACACGAGAGTAGAAGCCCAAGGAAAAGCCATGCACTCAACAAAAGACATGTTCTGCAAGCTGAAGAGATGAAGACTGGAGCGGAGTCTACAGTTGACTCTATTCTCAAACTCCAAGAGCGATTACACAGTAGCAAGGCTACCCACCAGTCTCCTCCCCAGCCCCCAGTCAGTGCTCCTGTTGGAAGCATGCAGATGAACGCACAAGGGGATGGATGCTTAGAAGATGCCTCAGATTACAAGATGCCATCAAAGGGGAGTATTGACTACAGCTTATGGAGGTTTGGATGTCACTTGCTGGTCATTAAAAACAACATTGATGCTGTCACTGCCAACTACGCTGAGAGTAATCTCAACAAGGTAATCAAGTTTGTAGTTAATGAGCCAGCTCAGTGTTTTCAAAGGCAAGGTCATTTTAGAACAAAGCACCCGGTGATGTCATGTCGATTTGAACATGTTCATTTTCTGTGAATGGGGTGGGCTGATAGTTTGGACCTTCATATTGAGGTTCTTGAATGATTGCTGACGTACTTGTTGAGTATGCACTCTTAAAGACTGGCATCATTATTTGACAGCATGAATACATCTAATGACCATTTAAATTGGCCAATAGTTGATTGTCAGTAGTACATGTAGGTTGAAAAGAAAATGGCTGTGAGACACACTTTCGTGGGATCAGAACATTTATTTTTCTAATCGGTGCATTTTTGGCCACTATGACTTGATTCACTTTTAATACTTGCATTCCCACATCCAGATGCAAGTTGCGACCATCCTGCCTAAGTTGGAATACCAGCCCCACTTTGGCTACGAGCAGATCAGCATGAGTGAACTCATCAAGCTCTGGATGAGTCTGCTGCTGCAGCCAGGGTCAAAGGTCATTCAAGGTAACCAATTTGAATGACCCAAGTCATCAGTTTCATTGAGGGTGTGACCAGATCAAAGTCAAGCCGTTTATTTTTCTCCCATTGGCATGGTGATACAATTTATTTTTTCCCAATTGTATGAAAACTTTGTAAACAAATCAGTTCCAGTGATTATGTTTCAATGTACCATAAAAAATGGACGTCCAGTTGGGTCTACTCCTTTTTACATTGGCCATATGTTTGCCTGCAGGGGCTGGTGGAACTATAGTTGGCTGTGTGTAAAAAGCAAAAGAATTAGCGAACTAAGTGTTAAGAAATCTCATTCAACTCTCACAGCAAAACACCAAATAATAAACACTGGCTACCTGTAGGGTGACATTTCTGCATACTTTGACTGCCTGCATATGAACAGTAGTAGGCAATGCGAAAAGGGTCTGTCAAGAAATCTTGAACTGTGTACTTTGCATGCTAACAATATCCAGGCCGTGTCAATGCCTTGACCTCTGACCTAATGATGCTGGAACAGTTTGACATGAACAGCGCCCTCTGGGAGCAGCCATCCTTCCAGTAAGTAGACATGAGCAACACTAAAAAATGCCAGCAACAATGTTGTTCCGAAAAAAATATCTCTAGACATGCGTATTCTTTAGTGGTTTCCTGTTTGATATTTTATTTTTGTTTTAACAACTACTCCAGTTTCATGTAGGTACATGGATGAACAAATTAACGTTTCCAATCAGTACATGTACTTACATTCTGGAATTTCCAAATTTTCTGTTGAAGTCAAACAGTATTCAACTAAATTGGATGGTAGTGGGATACCTCACATGAACCTTGTTGTAAATTTTAATGAGCACCTTTAAGTAAAACGTGTTTTCTGTGATTATATCTGTTCAAATAAATCATTTATCTTCAGAGCACAACTATATGTTTAACAAGCTATAAGGGCTTTTTTTTGTTCATGCCAAGATGCGAATTCTGAATGTAGATTGTGTCATTGAGGAGAAAACAAGGGGAACCCTCGCCCTGTGTTTGCAGCCAAACAATGGCTACATACATTGTTTGGCATGCACAAGGGTTTATCCACAACGAACACAGGGTGAGGGTTCCCCTCGTTTTCTCTGTTTTCTCAGAATGAAGCAATCTACATTCAGAATTCGCGTCTTGGCATGAACAGAAAAAAGCCGTTTTTAGCTTGTTGTAGTTGGGCTCTGAAGACAAATGACACTGCGTTCGATTTGGATGCTTCCAAATTTATTTGAACGGTAAAAATTAGACAAAACATGTTTTTGAGAGGCGCTCTTTAACCAAATGATATCAGATTCATTTCTTCACCCACAGACCATCTCGGTGTTTAAAGATGATGTTCCAAGTCCTTGACAAGTTGGCCAGGTAATGATCGAAGTTTATGTCCTGTTTCTTTGATATTCTGTAGAAAGCGATCCAGACGTTTTTGTGACTTGCACTGTTAAGATTACATGATTACCCATGAGCTGATTCTGGCATTGTCAAATAAATGTACCTTCCTTTTTATTCCTCAAAAATTGTGGAAAAATAGAGAGAAGCCAATAAAACTGTTCTGAAAATCAGCACCCTAACACAGTAGGTGCTCATCTCTGTGTTAATGAACATCTCTTATAAAGTGCATAAAGTCCCTATGTGCTGAATGTAATTAGCCTAGCGCATCGGCTCACAACATCGGCTGAAACCATCTCAGCTCACTGGGGAGTATACTAGTGCAATGCTGCCGTGTCATGTGCCGGATCAGGTGCAAAGAGCTAAAACATAACCGTGTCTGCCTTCACAGGCACCCATTTACTCCTGGGTGGAGAGAGGCATGTCTGGGTAAAGTGACTTGCCTAGGATCACAGCATGCTGCCACCAGCTGGATTCGAACCCCTGACTCTCCATGTGTGATTAGAAGCTACAGACCCCAACCACTTGGCCAGATGGCCACCATAGTGATGGTGTTGAGCTTTGTCTTGAAAACGATTCAGCTGAAACTGAATTCATTCTTACAGTGCCCTCCTATAAAAACCTCTTGACAAATGCTCTATTATAAAGTACCATTACCACCTGACCAAGTAAGGCACTCTATGTGTTGTTCATGTCTCTAAGACAGGTATTTTCCAATACACTGCGAAATACAGGAAATGAAAATTAACCACTTCATGCCGTGTGGATTTAGCGGCATGCACGACCCGCTGCCAGGCGAGTTTTCATGACTTTCTGGTTTCAAAATTCTTCAAAAATTCATATCTTCAATATCATTTACGCTTACACCCAAACGAATGACTGTCTTGGGGCGAGTCTTATCTGACAAGCAACCTCCATTGATGCATGAGTATTGGAACCATGCCTGCCGCCCAGTAAAGAGCCCATTGTGCGGTGTTGCATAATTTCCTCTTCGTTCCGGAAATCGGGCCAGTGTGTTGCTGGACGGTGGTGTTGTCTTTACTAATGCGGCAAGATTCCACCTGCACGCAGTGGCATTGTATCACTCATCGCTGGAGTGTTGGAGCACTTCTTGTCTCCGCTGATATGATAATCCGCCGGCACTGGCAGCGGCGAACAGTGGTACTGTTTCAAAACAATGACGGATTACCCCGGCCATGAATAAATGGAACCCAGCCCTGGGAACCTATTGTTGCCCATCAGTGATGGAATTACCTCTGCTGGTGGCCTAAACTTTGGACTGACAGCAAGTGAACTTTCTCTAAAAATGCCCAGCAACTTTATTTTTAAAAAAGTTCTGATTTTGGGCACCCCTGCCTTGCATATATATGGCCAAGGTCTCCCATACCGGGAACCCCGGCGGCAAGTGGTTAATAACTCTCACTCTTAGTGCATTTTCATAACGAGTGGATTTGGCTTAGACAGCGGTTTCGCTGGTTCCAGTCAGAGCTTGAACATTTGGTTTCGAACGCTGCTTCAAAATGGCTGGAACCAGCAAAACCAAAGTCTAAAGCCGATTCCACTCATTTCTAAAACGTTCTTAGAAACGCTGTGGTCTTTTACATGGTGTATCTGCAAATCTTTCCTAGCTTTGCGCTCTCCACCATGCGAGACCTCCAAAAGCACAAACCCTTGAACCTGAGCATTCCCACCACTTGGACTTTATAACCTTGTCTGTTCATCTTTGTGTGATGATTACAGTCTTCCTGAGGGACCCTATCTGTTGTGCCACTCTGCCGGCGACATGCATGCCTGTATCTTGCAGACTGCTACCCCCACAGCCAACAAAAGGTATTTCAAGCAGATCCCCCGTGTGTCTCCATCAGTAATTTGTGAAGACCGTGTGTGGGATTTGAAGACTACTTACTATAAACTGCACCATTACATTCAGTCAAGCTTACGTTTTAATCTCTCCATTGGGAGAAAGTCAGTGTCACCTTTTCCAGCTTGATGCTACCATTGCCGACAGTAAAAAAAGAAGAGGGGGGTGTCATTATTAACACATCTGCCCTCACTATTCAGTAACTCCTAACTGGAGAGAAGCATTGGGTTCTGTGCTTGGTTGGAAAAGTCTTATGTTATATATTGTTTGTTGATTCAACTATGATCAGAACTCGGATATGGAAAAGGAAATGGAAAAGACTGACCAAAATATATTTTTCTAAATTTTGTGAAGGTTGTTTGATGGACATTAGGAAAATTTCAATATTTTGTTGGTTATTAATGCCTAGGGAGTGCTCTCAGCAGCTTAATTTTTAAGGATTTTTGTCAGTTAATCTATTTGTTAATCATAATGTCTTGCAGATCTGTCTTTGACTTGCACAAGAGCTGCAGCCAACTACCCATGATGCAATCCTGTCCACCACAGCAGTTCCCATGGTTACCACTTGATACCAATTTGTATCTTCCGGGACATATTGCCACAGGTCGGATCCCTGCTACGTTTCCACCCAAAAACACAGGGAAAAAAGCAAAAGGTACTTAAATACATTGGTGTGGGAAAAAAGAGGGAATTCACATGCGACAGACATGATCTGTGTGGGACAAACTAGACTGGACACCTGACGTCACAAAGACTACAGATCTTATGTTCCCAACTTTGGCCATCCCAGAGCTGTGCACAAGAGTGATGGTACTCTTGTATGCACAGGTCCTCAATCTCTTCATTAGCATTTGTGGAGGGAACTGGACACAACCACTCTCCTCATTCAATGAAATCTGTATAAAAATTAGTGTTCCTTAATCAGTTAGATTAAACTTCCCTTCTTACCGCCAATGGTCTTGATTTGTTTTTTTTGACAAGGAGATTAGTGGTGTCGCTGTCCTAGTTTTCTACGATTACTTTTCTGTTTGAACTTCTATCTTGCTGTGTGATTTGCCAATAGGCCAGAGGCTGAAGCTCAAATTATGTGTGCAAAATGAGTTTCGCTCCTACCTCCGGGGTCTAGTATATTTTGTAAATTTAACATGTTTCCTGCTTCACAGTAAAAGTTCTCCACAAGAACTGCCCCAAATTAATTTAAACTCCCCGGCGCAAATCCATCCTTGAAATAGTTGTTCAGGGTACCCGCTGCTACATCTGATTCAAACCAGCCAGCAGACACCGGCAAGCTCGTTGGTCGAGTGGTTAAGACATCTGCACTAGTAAGCAGGAGGTCATGGGTTCAAGTCCCACCCGAGTACATGTACACTTGTGGTTTTTTCACAAGCCTTCGGGGGCAGTGTTAAAATACACGTTGGGCAGGTAAAAAAAAAATCTAAAATTAATCATAATTAATCATGCTTCTATGTCTTAAATTTGGTGTCTTAAATTTGGTGGAGTGGAGTTGGGCTCCACCATGAATTTCGGTTTTCCGGACTGGTTTCTCAAGTTTGAGTAATTGTTTCTGTAACTAAGAAACGAAGGGAAACCGGTCTGTGCAAGCAAGGTTCAAGGAATAATCAGTTCATATTATCCTTTTGCTAACAGGGTTTTCAGGATTATTCCAAGAAGATTGCTGCCGTGAATTAGATTTTTATAAGAGGGAGTGGATGAGATTTGTTGTCAGCATCAACAGGGTCACTCCTCACTCTTTTCTTACTGTTTGATTTTATACAGCTTCATGGATGAGTGGTTCGTTTGCTGATGTATTTAAGTAGGTTCTTGTGAAAAGTATGGAAAGAGAATTTTAGATTGATGTCAGTTTTAATGCACTGGCAGATATACCAGCATTTGTGCATAGGTTAGCTTCCTAGAAGCTTAACTTTTAGAGCACAATACTTAGCTAGTAGGAAGTCATCATGACTGGTCTCATGCAAGGCCATGATAGTGGGTGAGTAACACTTGTCAACACATAACTCGCCCGTGAGCTCATTTATTAAGCTGGTGTTTCCCAGAAAGCGGGATTTTTAAAACTCCATATCCGGAGCTCAGAGACCCTAGGGCTTGTATGTGCTCATGTATATTGTGTCTATTTGTGTTTTTGTTCCTAACTCACCCACAAACTGCGACCTTTGACCTCCACTATATGCAGATGGGCGAAATATTGTCATGTGATTTGCTGCAGATATATTTCTCCTCCGTTGTCAAGCGTTGTCACATTTCATCTATTTGTGTATTTAAAGAAAACTTCTCAAATCTATCATTACATGTAATTTCTCTAAAATGACTGGATGTTTCATGGAGAACTTTACTATATTCTTAATCATGAAATCCGCACCTTCAACATTTTTAGAAAATGTATGGAATAAACCCCTGAGGTGGGAGGGAAATAACAGGATAGAATTAACAGCCGATGGCCTAGTTGTCACGTACACATGACTGCAGAACACATTGACTGTAAGCCCATACATTCAAGGGCAGATCCGGAGAAAAATTCTTTTTGGGCGAGGGACGAAATTATTGAGGGGGGGGGAGGCAAGACTAGGAAATTTCTTTCTGCAACTTTTGATGGCTTCTGAGGTGTAAGGCTAAATGTATGGCATTTCACACAAATTGGGAGGCAGTAATTGAAAATTGCCCCCAAAAATCTTGGTTTGGGCTTCGGGGAGGGGGGTGCGGCCATGGCCCCAGTTAACCATGGATGGTCAACATGGATGGTCAAAATGTATTTCAATAATGTTATTTAAGCCCCCTGAAGAATTCCTCTGAAATGTCTCTCTCCTGACATGCTGGCAGATTGCTGATTCCACATCTGAGCTCTGGAGGCAGCACGTTGACCGTTACAGAGTACACCTAAATTGTATTTTTTTCTTTCCAGGTGGTTTGCCAAAAAAGAAACCAAAGAAGAAAAAGAAGGCAGGCAAGAAGTAATGCTGCTTTTGAAAGGGCTTCAATGTCTGACCTCGTTAACGTCTGTGGATTTGCTGTCAGATGAAGACCTCAGCAGAAGGCGTTTCTACCGTGTATAGATTGCACTTTGTATCGTTGTTTATTATGTAAAGTACATTTGTCATTCCCTCACTGAGATATTTTGTAATGATGAGATTTCCTTATTGACAAGTATCCCTTTCCTATTTTTAGTTTTCTTCTTGATGTGAGGCAGACTGCTTTGTCCAGATGTTGGTAACTGGTAAATAACAAACATTGATATGGATTTACATTCTGTGCTGAGAAGTTAGTAGCAACACTGCAGGTATTTTCCCATGCAGTTCTCTCATTTGACTCTTTTTCATTTATCTGCATTTGTCAAAAGCACTTAGCGACCATAAGTTTTGTTTTCACTAAGGGCCACCATATTGTCCTACATTTGCCACAGATTCGATTTACAGATAGTGTAACACAGACAAAACAAAAACTTGGAACTGTGAATCGGTTATTTATGTATTATTACCAATAATTTAATTGTATTCACACTTGACTTCAATTATTGTTTATTATAAGCACAAGTCCATATGACTTGCATCAAAATAATGTCAAAGAAGTCCTGTTTTATTAAGCAACAAATTTGGTTCACATTTTAACGTGAGTTAATCACATATCAAGGTAGGTTGTTTGTCAACAGTTGTATTCTCAGAGGTGAATAATGTGGTGCTGCATATGTATGTATATGTATATCTATAAGAATAGAACGTTATCTTGTTTGAAAGCAGAGCCGGCCTTGGCCCTGGCCCTATGCCAAGCCTGGTTTCCATGTCAACATGAGAAACGCAGAGAGCAACGCAATCAGGACGCAAACTGCTAAGCGGATATGGAAACATGTCAAATGGAGGTGTGGCAGATGTGCCACACCTCCATTTGACACAAACGCAAACAGCCCACGAACTATCGGCAGAGTTGAGCCAGGTTCAACTTTGCCGACTGTCTGGTGTCGAGTAGCCGTGGTATCCCCATACAAACACTCATGCTGGCATGACCAGCGTGCAACGATGTCCCTCTCACTTAGCTCCAAGACTTCTGCCTTTTTGTTTCAATGCTTAAATTTTACACCCTTATGACCAACTAAATTGCTGACCATCAACGAAATGCATGAAACTGGAGTAAAGGTTTGGCACCATGAGGTGGTACAGTCTATCTGTCAAAAGTCAAAACGGTATCTCCCGCCAAAAATTACAGAGCTTCGGATGCCATTTTGTTTCAATTTGTGGATGGAATGACATCATGCACCGTCTCTTCCAGTCTTGCAGACTGTCTGTGTTACAGACAACCACATGGAAACCAGGCTTCAGAGAGCAGCTAAACACAGAAAATATTTGCTTGGTAATACAAAGTTACTAAAAAGGCCATGCGCTCTGTACATTTTGTAACTGGTTTGCAGCTGATTTTTGCTTAGTATATGAATTTGAACACATTTCCATCTTGGCAGTTCAATCAACATTAGGCCCTGTTCAGTTATCTCAGATTCTCTAAAAGAGCTGAGGAGGGATGGGGCAGAATTCATCCCTCAACATTCTCTGCAGTGCATGTATTGTTATGGTGCAATTCTTTTCCTGCACTAAGCTTTCAAGAGTTCTCGCCACTAATTTTGTGACAATAACATTCTTGCAAAATGCCCATTTTGCTTAAACAGGTCAGTGAAAATTGTATAAATTTCCCATTGGTGTGCTGAATGCACACCGACTGACACAAGAGGTCATAAACTTCACTGATATAATGTAGGGCATCAGTGTGACTGTCTTTACATGCGTATGTTAAATTTCAAATGATAAGGCATGGGACAGCTTGAGGGGGGGTTGCAATCTGTCCCTCCCCAGCTGTGTGATGGCTCCCAAAAGCCTGGTTCATTTAGGATTAAGTCAAATGCCGTTTCCCAAACCAAATCATGAACAAACTTAAGTTTGGCCAGAATGAAAGCTGGAAAGCCAAAGAAATTTCAAAAATACAGACTACAAGTCAAAAAACACCACTGAGTGAAGTGCATCAGTAGTGTATTCGTTTTTCAAAATCCACACACCTGAAAATCTTTCTCTTCCGAAGATACAAATGTAAACTGAATCTTTCAGTCCCACGTCTGCTGCAATAATGAAAACTACAACAATTTTGTTTTCAAATGGTAGCTCACCATGTTGTACTTTGAATGTTAAAAGTAATTAAAATAAATAATGTCAGTACAATTCAATTAGTTTACTTGAACCCTTCTCATTAAATAGGAATTTTATAAATTAGATTGCTTCAAATTCTCAACACAGTAATTATTATATTTATTGAAATAACATAAATGTCCCATAGAGCACCAAAGCGTGACATCATATGGCCTAGGGAGTGTAGCGCAAACGAAAAGAGTATGTGCATTTTGATTCAGGCGCTGGTTCTTGTGATAATCTCTTTAACAAATATAATTGTGCGTGTGACATATTCACTTTGGTAATCTACATAACACTGGTTGACTTAACGGTTCATTACTTTAAAGCGACAAAAACTGTCCGTTGTGCTTTGCACATTATGTAAAACAAATTCTTGAAAGAAATTACATTATTCAACAAAATATTTTATACAATGTTTGACAGAGTCCTTGTCCTTTGATTGGTTGATTAGTAAACCATTCACCCTCGTACATGGCATGGCTGACTGAAAAATGAAAGACATTTCTGTCACATTGGTGGAGCTACATGTATCACAGGCCCTTATTTAGGTGGGGTTTATCTTATTCAAGTATTGTATTAACCACTTAATGCTGGGGAACCCCGTTTCGAGCACCATGGGTTTATATGCAGAGCTGGGGCACCCGAAATAGGACAAAAGAGCTGGTCCTTGTAACAAAAGACAGTACTCGGAACAAAAGACCTGCTGCTGGGAATTGCCATCATTTCACGACTGGCATGCTTTGAAGGTAATCTGTCACTGTTTTAAATAGCATACCACTGTTTTTGGCATAACGCGCCTGTGGATTAGCACTGTGCGAAAAAGTGCTCCGGGGCCCCATTGATGAGCGACACAGCACCACTGCATGCTAATCCAGCCGTGTTTGAAAAGATGGCACTCGCATTCACTGGGGACAAAGGAAATTACACAACACCTCACAATTCTGGGCTCTTGACAGGGCGGTAGGCCTGGCTGAAATATTCAGGAGTCAATGAAGGTCACCTGTCACAGAACTCAGCATTTGAGTTCTGTGAAATAAACAGCAGTTTTTGGTTTTTTTTTTAAATTGACTCTAGGCCTTTGAGTAACTACTGTGTCAATGCCTGGAGGATTTAAACTTGGCACCCTACCCGCAAAAGCTGAGTGAGGACGCATCACAAGTGCACTCTGGTTCGCGCTCGACAAAGTCATGCCCAGCACGCTGCGAATGGAGCATGATATAGGGCTGAAGTTGTGACTTTACTCTGAGGCCAACCTGGCAGAACCATGGTTACCAATTGGCATACACTGACCACTGCACTGAGCAGTGCAGCAGGTCAGACCATCACAAGATCATTACAAGACCAACATAAGACCTTCAGTATGAATACACGTCACAAGCTCTTCAAATGAACTGCATTGCGAGCACTCCTTTGTCACTGTCCAATGTTACTTGTGCCCGGTATTATGATGATCTCGACAATAACACTAATACTATCAAGTTTTGATCATCAAAAAATGAGTCACTGACCATAAATGCACTTGACTTAAAAGTGCAACACACGGAACAATGATAAAAGAGGCTGTCACTTCATATAAGAAAACAGATGTATTTCATAGGCACGCAATCTTCATATGGCCCTGGCATGTGTGAATACTGTGACTGTCAATTAAGTTGAACTGTAATGCCCCAAAGTGCAGAGACCATCTCTTGCAAAGTACTTCACCTTGTCAAGATACGGATACAGGTGAAAACCAATACTGCTATGTAAAATGTCAAAATGCTGTTTGTGCTTATTGCACAATGCACATGAAATACACCGTTTACAAATGCGCATGAGTACTACGAGCCCCGAGCTGGACCAACAGAGGGGGTAATTTCTTCGCAATGGAAGCTCTTTTGGTCAGAACTGAACATGACTGGTTCGCGAATAACTAGGAAATGCATGTATTACAGTAATACCACTACCAACAAAGTGAACACTCCCTATGGCTCTTTGAACTGATGAGAGGTGCTTTTACTATAGGTGGATTGTTTGAGAATTGAGCTTGACTTACGGCGGTATCATACTTTTGGAGTACACATAATTTGAGGCAAATAAGCAAGCATATCGTAAAAGTAAAAGCAACTGGTATTTGTGTATAAATGGAAGTGTCCTTACACAAAACATATCCATTACAATTTTATCAAAAGGGTGCATTTAAATGTACATGTACAGTATGTACTGATGTAAAAAAAGCCTTATTCGTTATGTGGACCTGAGCAACACAGATATCCACAGACTACAGGCAGTAAAGGCAATGGGTGGTCTTACCCAGGCCAATATACTGTTCCCTTCCCTCTGAAAAACATGGTGAGAGGCAAGTTGGGGTCAGGGTTCTTTGAGGCATAAGAAAGAAGGAAACCAACAAAAATCCACCTTAAAATATAGTATTTGCTATCATGTAAGACCACGTTCTCATGCACCATAGTTGTGGGGACATACATTCGATATTTCATTTCACCTGTTTTGTGGGGACCGAAAATGTTGTGGGGACTCAGAAATGTCCCCACAACTCGGTTCAAATTTCCCTAACAAAAGAACTTGTCCCCTCAACCACTTCGTGCCGGGGCATTTTTCAATGTTGATGATGCTGGGCCGGCATGACTATCATTTTTTCCGTTTTCAAACTGCTCCAGTATATTGCAAGCCCCAAACATGGTTAATATTCTTTTCACAAACAAGTTAGTATTGTGTGAGTTTGTTGACAGCATGGTCCAAAGTAGATTTAACACTGCGTTTAATGCACAGTTTACATATGTACATGTGAAGGATTTTGTTTTCTCTAAACCCTTTCATTTGAAATTTCTCTGTGAGAAGCTATTGGTATGGGCAAACACATCTCGGTTTGACCAGCCACCAAACTTCGAGGACAAAGTAACATTGAGAATCAATGAGTTGTTTCCATCTTTTTCAAAGCTTCCCACGAGAAACACTTAGATACTTGTGTATCTCACTGCTTTCCTCCAAATATCTTCCAATGGTAAGAGACAAAGTTTCCAAACCTACCGGTATTAGCTGGGTCATTCCATGAGGTTGGGGCATAAGTTGTGACGGTGTCAACTTTTACGTGGGTTCCGTAAAAATGAACAGCAATTTCCCTGCAAGGCTGAATACAGAGGTGTGTGTTATTTTTACAGAGTAAATGACCTACTCTACAGGTCATGACAGGTGGTAAAAGTGACCCATATAACAAGGACACCATCACAAATTGTGCCCCAACCTCATGGAATGACCCAGCTACAAGAAATAGGGTCCTGTGTGGAACTCTTTATTATATGATCATTATCAACTACAACGTATTCATTATGCATGCTCTGGGCAAGAGATGTCAAGAAATAAATTTATTTGATATTGCATACACCTGCTTCTTTACATGTAAGTGCAAAACTTATAGAACAAAAATAGCTACTAAAAGCAACATTAGTACAAATCAAAGCTGCAATGTCTGTATATACACGTACATTCGGACCCTGGTACTGGTACTAGCATAACTGCAGGGAATGCCAGCCATTCTTTGACTTGATGAGACCGGTTTTTAATTTGATGTCATAACAGACGTCAAGTCCATATCATAAGACCAGTCACAACTATCAAGAGATGAGCCATGTCTCATTTGTCACAGTTTATTTCAATAGGTGGCTCAACCCGAGAATGGATGACTTGTCCCTAAATTATGCCAAGCACAAATGTGACACACATTGTGTTTACCTGTCTAGGTAAAAGAAGGTGCCGATGGTATGACAATTTGACACAACACATGAAATATCAGGACAGATCACAGGGTCAGCAATGTCCTTAGGACAACTGGACAGAAATGTGGAAATCTTTGTAAAGATTCAAACAAATGGCAAAAGGAACCTGCAACAATTTGTAAGATTTCTTGAATGGTCATCCCAACTTGTCAGAATTACCTTCAGAAACCTTTGTACTGCTCGGTTTTTAGGTACCAGCCTCATTTCAGCCTCTAGTGCCTTAATGTTCAGTTATTAAAACTTCACATGGATCTTAAGCTGGGGACGGGGTACTGCACCAAGATGGCTGACTACATCACCACTTGCAGGTCTTCACTCTCAGAGTCATCCTTGTAGTTGAATACGTACTGAGCTTGGCTGTCTCTGAACCCACCGTGCATCTTGTCAGCGTGCGCGATGACCTGTCCGATCAGGAGCCTGTTGCCGTAGACGAGGGCAGCCTCCCTATCTATAGCTAGGCCAACTTCAACCAGCCAATCGACAAGGTCCACGCCACGGAACACTTCATCACTCTCTTGAAGCCCAACTCTGTAGAGTGTGAAACCGCAAAACATACGAATACTTCACTAGTTGCCATTTCAGTCAATTTGTCAATAGCGGCACCAGCAAGCAACCAACTAACCAGACATCATGAGTCTGAGTCACCGGAGCCGCTTTTGAGCAACCAGTAACTACCTTTCAGATAACATTGGTCAACAATTTTCTTCACTTATCTGCTTCGGAGATAAATGAGCAATTTATCATAGACTTACATGT